GGGCGGGCCCAACCCCCCGCCGGCCCCTGCCCCGGGGCCAAACCCCCCTTCCACGGCACGGCACGGCCCATCCCCCCCTTCCATCTCCTCCTGCAGCGCGGCCAACCCCCGCGGGCACCTGCCCCGGGGCCAAACCCCCCTCCCGCAGCACAGAGCAGCCAACTCCCTCCTGCAGCACGGCCAACCCCTGCAGTCACCTGCCCCAGCCCGGCAACCCCTCCCGCTGCACAGCCAACCCCCACGGGTGCCTGACCCGTTGTCTCTATGCTAGCCCCAATTAAAACTGTTCCTCTCTGAATTGTTGCATGAAGTACACAAATCTGGCATTCAGAGACTCTAGATTCCATTCGGAAAGCATTCACTATTTAAACACTCAATTTGATCTTATTCCAATACAGGAAGAAGACTAGTGGAGAAAAACACAGAAGGAGTCTAAAGTCTGGAAGCCAATGAATGGAAGATGAAAAGACAGCAAAGCAAGCTCTCCAGTGCCCTTAAACTGACTCTCTCAAACACCAACCTTTCTGCACTCTGTCTAGGGATAGTAAATTTCGATTGAATAATCGAATAGTTGGCAATTTGTGTCAACTATTCAATTAGTCAATAGAACGCCTCCACCTTTTAAGTGCTGCAACAACCTTAAGGCTGCTGCTACACTTCACAGGTGAAAATGCTGCGGAGATCATGGGACCAACAGAGCAGGGGGGCTCCACGCTGCCCATCTTCTTTCAAAGTGGCAGTGCCATGTGGAGCCCAGGGCCAGGTGAGAGCTCCCCTGCTGACTCTGGGTTTCGTGCAGCACTGCTGCTTTGAAACACCACATGACGCCTGACACTGGGCTCCCTGTGGTGTTTGAAAGTGGTTGCGCTGTGTAGAGCCTGGAGTCAGCTGGGGACTCCCCTGCTGATCCTGGGCTCCAAGCAGCATTGCCGCTTTGAAACGCTGCAAGGAGCCCAGTGTCAGGCTCCATGTGGTGTTTTGAAGCAGCAGTGCTGCACGAAACCCAGAGTCAGCGGGGGAGCCCCCAGCTGATCCCAGGGACCTCGCGGCGCTGCCCCATTGAAACGCCATGTGCAGTTCCGCCATGTGCAGCCATAGCCCAAGCTGCATGCAGTGTTTCAAAGCAGCAGCTGCACGGAGCCCAGGATCAGCTGGGGACTCCCCAGCTGACCCCAGGTTCCGTGCAGTGGTCCCGCTTTGAAGTACACCACTTTCTTCCCCCACATTGCTGCCTCTCTCTGATATCCTGTCAACCATCCGATAAGCATTTGCTTTTCGGATAGTGGACTAGTCATTCACATCCCTAACTCTCTCAGTGACAATGTTAGGCAACCGGTTTTGGTTTTGTGGTTTCAAAAATGATTTTACTCTACCCAAAATACTATGTTGGTAGAATATTAAGGTTAAAACAGCAAAAGTCAGGAAAAGCCTGAAGTTGCACGCTTTTCCTGTGACCATAATAAGCATGGACCACAATACTGTCTAACAAAGTCTCAGAGGAGTAGCTGTGTTAGTAAGGCACCTTAGAGACTAACTAACTAAATATATATATAGAGAGAGAGTCTCTAAGGTGCCACACAACTACTCATTGTTTTTAAAGTTATATATATATATATATACAACTACTCATTGTTTTTAAAGTTTTATATATATATATATATATATATAGTATGAGCTTTTGTGAGCAAAACCCACTGTGTTAGATGAGATGAGCTAGAGTTACTAGTCTAGTTCATCTCATCTAAGAAAGTGGGTTTTACCCATGAAAGCTCATGATACAGTCTAGCAAAGATCACATACTAGTTCCAAAAAATACAGATATACAACTTTTCTACAATTCAGATCAGTATGACAGCATCTTGTATTTTTTCATTGACATGAAAGTGGAACATTTTGTTCTTTACTAGCCTAGACTTATAAGTCTTCAATAGCATTTATGTACTATAAAATCATCTGTAGTACATAAGCTTTCCTTGAATAAAGTTCAAGGAATAAATCACTCAGTTAAGAAAGAAGCTAAACTAGCTATGAATTTGTTGCCTGTATATACCAGGATGTTTTGCCAATTAGTCTGTATGGTACATTTAACGTGAAGTATGATGCATACATAAATATGATTTATTGTATACCTTTCTTACAAATGGGTTTCATAAATTCAGACATACACACATGACATCTTACATTGCTGTGTATCTAAGGCTTTAGGAAAAACATTAAGTTGCATAGAGTATATGTACTCATATAATTAAATATGATATTGCAGAGAATTTATAGATGGGGAGAATTATGTAGCATATGCACCCTTTCTTTATTGACTTTTCATAGTGTGAATCTTTAATTATACAACTTCAAGACTTTCTAAAAGAAAAAAATTAATTTTTAGAAAAAACTTTTAAAAACAAATATTCTTAACTGACCTGCTGGTTTGCAAAGAACCTGACAATCACATATATTAAGTCCATAAGCCAGAATTATTTTGCTAGATCCCACTGAAACACATCATCCTTACATTTATAGTCGGCAGCATCTAGAGGTGCCTTACATCTTCAGAAGCTCAAAAGAAATAGCCTCTCCTATGAATCTTAGCAGCTGCAGCAAGACGACCACTCAACAGAGTTTGTACCCCCTTGCCCACTTCACTGAGAACAAGTATCAAAGGGGTAGCCGTGTTAGTCTGAATCTGCAAAAGCAGCGAGGAGTCCTGCATAATGCATCTGACGAAGTGGGTCTTTGCCCACGAAAGCTTATGCTCCAACACTTCGGTTAGTCTATAAGGTGCCACAGCACTCCTCACCGCTTTCACTGAGAACAGCAACCCTTTCTCAGCCTCTCCTCACTGCACAGCTAACCTTGTCTTCAAGAAGGTTCAGTAGTTTCACTTATATAAGTGCAGGGAGCCAAGGAAGCTTCAACTCCTGTACACCTGAAATGCATTGTCTCCCATTCTACAATTAAGTGAATCATGCAAGTAAATCTTGCTGATCCAGCTGCATTTGAAGACAATGGCTATGGCTAAACACCTATGAAAAGCAACAGGAGCAGGACTGGGCCTTTGAAGAATATAGAACCTCTGACATGGAACTAGAAAGTTGTTTCAACAATGCATACTAACAACATGCAACTATTTAGGAGAGGAAGCAAATCCAGTATTCCATTAAAACTGCAGGAGAAAGCTGAGTAGACAAGGTAATGTTAAAGTGTAAGACATCTAACTACAACAAGACACAAACAGATCAAGTGTTAGAATAAAGGTACAATCTAGAAGCAAATGAATTACTTCTCAGGAGGAAAAATTAAAGTTTCTGTTTTTCCTCTACCAAATGCCTCCCAACTCCATCGAGGTAAATTAAGATATCAAATGTTAGCAGGAAAACAGAATCTTGAAGTACCTACAGAAGACCACTATTTAGCAACAGTAAATTTCCTTAGGTGACTGGAGCAATCACTGCTGAAAAATGAGAAAAGTTCCTTGACTTCTCAAAATAGATACACTGTGTTAGAAGTAATTTCAGCCCCTGCCAGTCAAGTATAGCAGGGACTGGAGCAAGGAATCCAAACCACTTGAGAGTAACTATCACCAGAGAAGAAGCACGTCTGCTGTCAGATTTCACATATATCAATTCATAAGCTCATTTTATACACAAATCTAGATAAGGCCAATTTTATTCCACTTGTTGTAAACCTGAACAAAGGCTGACATTAGTTTCGGGAGGTTTATACAGAAGAAGAAATTAATCCGGGCACACTGCCGTCTTCAACCTGCCACAGCTGCATCTTTCGTTTCCTGGCAATCCAAGCTAGAAAAGACCTAGGGGGCTGGTTAACAAGTGTGCTGCTCCAGGACTCTCGGCTTCTTTGTGGCCCCCTGGAAACATCCGCGTCAGCTGTATTTTAAGCGCCAGCGGAACGGATTAGCCGCAGGAATTGTAGCTCCCTGCGCAACTCTTGCCTGAAAGAGCGTCTGGTGTCGGGCAGCTGGTCGAGGACCCGCACTGGCAGCTCCGCTAGAAAGGCCCCCGCCGCGCTGCACCAGGGAACGAGCTCTCGGCGGGCGATGAAAGCAAAGGCCGGAGCCAGCCCAACGCTGGACCCCCAGCCCTCAACTCGGCCCCTCGACTCTCACCGGTGTCCCCCGGCCTCTCCCCCCCAGACCGCCCA